GAAAAACGGTCTTTCTCCATAAATATATGTCAAATCAATGAAAAATAAAATCTCACTGGCAAATGCAAAATCTCGCGGACAAATTTCATCAAAATTACTGAGAAACAACGATATGGGTAAACAGGTCTGATGACGTCACAATATTTGAACTTTGACCTCTTGTTATGACCGGAGACTCCTTATATGTGTGTCCAAATATTAGCCCTCTACTATTTATTGAACAAAGGTTACACTTTATTTTATATCAGACTGTTACATGCGTGTTTATTGCACTTAGATAGCGTAAACCCATTCCAAAATGTAAGCTCCCAAGTGACCTCTGATTTTTTCTCAAAATATGACGCAATCATGCCGAAACTTGTTATTTTTCTTACAAGGGTCATTCATTGTTGTCAATATATTAATACAATTATTCTTTTTTTATCCAGTATTTTTAAAGAAATGAGTAAAAACAGAATCCAGGGGTGTTTTGTACTAGTCTACCTTAATTGATATATTTTGAAGAATTAATAGTATAAAGACAAAGAAGAAGGTACAGTTTGGGCTTTAATGTGCCCTAAAATTTTATTTTTTAAATAGTTATGAAATTAGCTGTAACAAGAGTTAAGTAGAAGAATATGATAAATCATTAAAGAATATGGATTGAAGAAGGACCGTTTAAGTTTAAAGCCTCGGAGTGACTCATTTCTGTGCACATTTTCCTTTAGTAAGTAGTGTCTGCTACAGTCGCCCTCTATATGTAAACTTCTTTGAAAAATCTTTTATATTCATGTATATCTGCAGTTACTAGCTGCACTGTAATATTACGAGTGGCCAAAATGACAAGATCACACACACTTTCGTAAACTTTTGAGGCAGTTTCAGTTGGATCAGATGGACCAGTCAGCTGTTAAGTGCCGTCATCTCTGACCACCAATTGCAGATCAGTTCAAGATTCTTGAATGGGAACACTAAGAAGAATATTGTTGATTGTGTCGATATTCAGCCGTAAAGATCTCATAAGGTGCATAGTCGTCAACAAACATGGTCAAGTGACACAAGAACCTCCTCATGTTCTACTCTCCACAAGAGGCAGACAAGGACCATTGGATGGCATCACCAGCAGTTGCTCTATCCCTTCAGATGATTTATCTGTAACATCGGGTAGAGGCTCTTGAGGTGCTTGGGAAGTTGTATGATTAACAGTTTTGTCGTGAAGCCTTCCTGGGAGAAATACTTCCGGTGGAATTGCAGGTGGACAAAGAAGAGGAAATATTCCAGTGGCTCTGAAACCTGAGACTACATTTTGAGGTTCTGTGTCCAGTGACTTGTGTGGCTTGGAAGCTTTACCACAATACTATTATTGCCTATTGTTCATGTAATAAATTTTATGTTATTGTGGGATCCTTGTCCACCGCATACTATAACAGCTAGCAACTGGGGTCTGTCATTTTCAGACCACAGTTTGGTAATCCCATCTTTGGTCCACTCACTTCAAGACATAGAAAAATTGGCAGATTTTATAGCTGATCCTTTTTAAAATTTCCTCATTGCCATATTTTTGTAGAGATCTTAGAGTTTGTTTTCCCCGGCATAATAAAGTGCGGAGAAGTTGTAGACCCTTCAGTGTTAGCACAAGAAATAACTGTAACTTATTCTCTAGAACCTGCTTTCCCTGCACAGTTTATGCACCTTTTGAGCCAACACTTTGCGACATACTTATGCCGTTTTCACCTATATTCCATATAGATTTAGCTTTGTTGTGCAGTTGGTTTTGTGAGTATATCTCATCCAAACTTAAAAAGAATTTGTCTAACTGTTCCTTTGTCATGGTCTTATGCCGAACAGAGCTGGTACAATTTGGGATAAGAAGTGTAAAATTCGACTGTCTCCGCTTTAGCCTTCGCCACCACATTTCCGAAGGCACTGTAGCTTTGATTTTACTGCCTCTTCTCTTTGCCAGTTCTGAGGCACATTGCAGAAAACAGTAATTTGTAAATCCAATTCCAAGCTCAATTCTCTGCTTTGCATTCTCTATCAATTCGATTTCATCATTTTTGGAGAGTCTGATGGCCCCTCCCCCTTGTCCCTTCTGCTATCTTTCCCGTTGTCACGTGTTGGGAAATTCATGGAAAGCTATACCCACTGAACATTTTTATTGGTTAAAAAGTAACTGTAACTTTTTACATATTTTTTTACTTCCACGCTTAATTGTCAAATCTGATTAGTTTAAAAAAAACTTTAAATACTGTAACCTCTACCCTCCGGACAGTATGACAGAACAACAATAAAAATGATTTTGTAGGGCTGTGATCTTTAACACTAGTTCATGCAGAATTAATTGAACATGTCAATTATCATAAAGTATATTAGAATAAGTTCATAAAATACGTGTTTAATTTCACTGTTTAATGCAAAATGAAAAAAATGGATTCAGTATAATTCAGAAAATAGCAACTATCAGTTTCATAAAATTATATCATCATATTTGAAGCTTTGCAAATGTGCTCTGATAAATTCAACATTTTCCTTAATGCAATAATACATTTCTGCTGTGGCCCATATTTTCTTGTGAACTTTTCCACTGGGTCTATAGCTTTAAGATAGCAAAATACACGCATCATATTTTGTCTGAATAGTTCACCACGACACCAGAGTCTGTTCTCTTTAGATAGGCAGCTTTATGTTGGATTCTCCGGTTGTGACAGATGATCACTGCATTTGCATCCCACTTGTTTTCCGATTTGGGACACAAAACATTGGAACATCATGCAATCGGTAAATCCCTCCGTCCGTAAAGGTGCACTCCCAAAGCATATTAACTCCGTATTTCAACGTTCTTCATTTGATTTTATTTGTTTGAAAAATAAACTTCATGTATTTAGTGATGGATTAAAATATTTCCTTCTTTTTTACAATTTCGTCTAAATCTTTTGTGAAACATATACATGTACAATCTGTCTGTTTATATGCCTAAAAAGCTTTTTTTTTTCTACTTCATAAGTGGGAAAGTTACGGGAAAAGGTGAAAAAGGTTTTTTGAAAGTTATTTTTTTTTACTAAAGCGAGAGATAGACGGAATAATGTACTAATCTTGGAAGAAAATTAATTCTCTTAATATGCGACATACATGTAAACCATAGTCGTCTGAACCGGGGAAGGGCTTAGCCCCGCCCTTTTTTCGTGTTTGGACAATGGACACCCCCTTTTGTTTGTCATGTTTTTTTTTAAGTTTTGAATTTTTTTTCTCTTTCACTTTAACCCCACTTTCAATTAGCTTCCGAAGGTAATGTAAAGAATTAAATCCTTGAAAATTTAATATTTCAAATATATAATTATTTTGATAATTTCGTTTCTACTCTTGATGCATATAAAGTCCACAACAATAAAATGATTCATTGGATTTTTGTTAGGATTTGTTCAACGACATCCAACATATTGTTTACATGTTTATGTTACGATTGTCCCCGAAATCCCGCGAGATTTGTACATTTACCGACTTTTTTAAAAGTCTAACCTTTTTTTTCTACATAGATGACTTTGAAGAGTTGCAATTCTTGAAGGAACTGTTTACTGTAATTATATATCTATATATGGTGTATAGTACACTTCATCTTAAACAATTTGGATTTTAAAAAATCTATGATATATGTTGAGTTTTTAAAATAACCCCTGTATATTTTTTCTTTGAATCATCCCAGAATAGTTATCATACAATTGATATCTTTCAAAAAAAAACCTCTTGTAATGCATGCTGATTTTTGTGAAATGGCAGTAAAGATTATTAAAAAGAAAACATGTAAGAAGATAGAAAGATATGCAGATGGATTAATTGAATGCCTTAAAGTACATTAGCTGTAATAACATCTGGTAACATTCTTGTCATGCAGCGATTATAGCCTAAACTTAATATCGTTTTTATCTTTATAGATGCAACGAGCTCGGACTCGTACTCTGTACTTCGATATATAAGGGGTCGTATAAAAAGTTTTTAAAAAGGAGTTTTATGTAATTTTCCGTGACAAAAAAATACAAAGACACATTTAATTCTAGTATAGATTTATCATTTGTTTTCTTCTACATGACGAAGCAGCGCAAATGTTGACTGTTTGTCTTATTTTGTACTTTGGATGCCTCAACAAAGTGCCTATGGCACGGAACAATTTCATTTCTCGAATTACTTGTTCAACATTTATTCTGTGTTTATTTATTATTCTGTTTAATTTTCTGCATTGCCGCTGCTGATGTGCAGGTTGTCTATTTATCTCTGCATGGGTGTACGCAGTTACAAAGGGACCTCTCTATTCAGGAACATTTTGTCCCCGCCTAGGATAACGCACTCGTTTGGTTTCGGCCGAGAGCTGGTATTATTACAATGAAGCGCATTGAAGTGGTAAAATTTTCCGTTCGAATGGAACGTTTTGAGCTATCTTTAGAACGTTTATTGTCATCTTAGGACACACCCATTTCTTTAGAAATGGATAAAACAGTCAATTTGTTTATTCGAATACCTGTTGAACAGGTTTTCCAAAAATATAATAGCCAATCAAATTGACGGTCTAAATAAACACCGAGTAAACACGTGTTCGACCGAAACATGTGTTCTGGTAACTTAAACAGACATGATAAGTTAAAAAATATGTACATATTCGTTGCAATTTAAGTTTTACAGAAGCGGGGAGTCTCTTACTCTCTCTTCTATTTTTTTTAAAGATTCATTTCAGTGTCACTTATATTGCTTTTCGCAAATAATTGGGTATCCTAAAACATTACGACGAATATTTCCTTCTCGTTTCTAAAAATATGGGCGTGTCATTATGTTATCATTGACGTTCCAAACATGACTCAGAACGTTTCATCCAAACGGAAAATTTTACCACTTCAATGCGCTTCATTGTATTTGACGAGATGGCGGTATAAGTAAAATTCTCTTTGTTAACATTTTATTTTTTAAAGATTTTATAGCAGTGACACTACTTTCAGATCAACCCTACACAGGTCTGGCCTATTTACTTGAAACCTTGTAACTGTAAATTGCATTCAAGGACATCACATTGCACATTGCTGTTCAGTCATGCACCTTGAGCTAAAAAAAATGCAAAGAATAACTTTTAAATATCTAGCGTTGGAAGTAATTTTAATTATTTACCTGTGATTTTGTGTTATCATTTAACATGGACTTACTAACACTGTTAGGGTGTTTAGTGGTGTTATTTTTTGTCTTAAAGTTGGTTGAGCTGTATATGCGTACACTTTACTTAGACACAAAGAATAAGTGTGTTTTGGTAACAGGGTGTGATACGGGATTCGGACATCTGCTGGCACAAGAGCTAGACAAAAGAGGAATTCGAGTATTCGCTTCCTGTTTGACTGAAGAAGGGGAGAAAAAGCTCCTGGAGAAGTGTTCCTCTAAAGCCGTCGTTTTCCGCCTCGATGTGACAAAAGAGGAATCCATTCAAAATGCAGTTAAACTGGTTAAGACTAAAATCGCTGGAAATGAACGTACGTTTTAATGTGTTTTATTTATTTATGAATTTAAGTACATGTATGTTTTTTACCTGGTTACGTGTTTTTATTAATTTATAGAGCTATACGGGCTACGTACTTGTACCTATGCATTATAAGCTAGGTGAATTCTTAAGTATTATACAATTCTTAAACTTCCAATACATGGGGCCCTCCGTTTCTTTTTTACACAGTGCTCTGGGGTTTGGTCAACAATGCAGGTGTTTTTTTACTGGCAGCGCCATTAGAATGGCAAGCTAAAGAACAGTACGAGAAAACCCTGGCTGTCAATCTGTATGGTGTCATCGAAATGACAAGGGTCTTCCTCCCTCTACTTCGACAGTCTAGAGGGCGGGTTGTCAACATGTCTTCCATTGCTTCCATGTTAGCCTTTCCAAAACTGGCGCCATACAACATCAGTAAAGCAGCCTTAGAATCGTTCACAGATACGTTAAGGTGAAGAAGATATCCTTAAATCAAACACACTTAACATTTGAGGGCTGGATGGTTGTGGCCATTTTGCAGACTATTTTGATCCCTTTAGAAATAGAGATATAAAGATATACAAAAAAGAACTAGTTTAAAAACTCAAGAATTTGAATTTTTTTCTTTGCCAAATGATAGCTGTCAGTTAAAAATATCATATCTAAAAGAAAATTAGTAATATCTGATAGTTAAATTGTTGAACCCCAGCCTCCTTAATGTAACATTTATTTCTGCAAAATATTGAACAGTTCATATGATTTATCTTACTGTAGAAGAGAGATGTATAACATCGGGGTGACGGCTCATATCATACAGCCTAGTGGGTTCAAAACAAACATCATCCCGGCGGACGCCACTCACCGTCTACGTAAAGCGTTTGATGACCTTCCACAGGAGGTCAAGGACTTCTATGGCGAAAAGAGCGTGAATATGGGTAAAGTATTAGCTCTGTTAATGATGAAAAATATTTATTATGATGATAAAAAAAATGAATGCGGGGTGGTATATTGTTACCACTTAATTGAAATTAATCAGTTGAATAGGTGATTTTTAGGTCACCTGGGTCACTCAGGTGACCTATTGCTCTCCGTTTTCGTCCGTCGTCGTGTGTTTACATTTGAACATTTTCAGCTACTTCTCTGAAAACACTAAACAAATTTCAACAAAATTTAATATGCGGCATTTATGGGTAAAGGGGAACAAACATCGGGAATTTTATTGTCCTTGTCGCTCTGGACCCATAGGGCCAAAACCATTAAAATAAATGAAATATTTAAAAAATCTTCTTCTTTACTTCTCGAAATCAAGCAGTCAAACTGTTGGCATGAATATAATAAGTATTGAGTCTTCTACCATAATTGTGAAAATTCATGGCCCCAGGGTCAGGGGTTCTAGTTCTAGGGCGGGGCTATATAGATGATATTCTAGGGCGGGGCTATACAGATGATATAAAGAAAATGCAATAGTTTTTGACAATCTTCTTCTCTGCTCATAGGTATTAAATAAACTAGCTTAATACACAGTTATGATGAGCAAGAGTGCCTCTTCAAGAATTGTAAATGTAAAGGCCCCAGGGTAAGGCGTTTTGGTGTAAGGGCGGGCTCTATTGATTATAAAGTGAAAATACACTAATTCTTCCCTGCTTTCTTGGATATTAAATAAACTAAATACATATGTATGACATGGAAAAGTGCCTCTTCCATATTGTGAATTTTAAGGCCCCTGGACCAGGGGTCTTTGTGTAAGGACAGAGCTCCATTGATTATATAAAATTCATGGCCCCCGGGTCAAGGGTTCTAGTGCTGGGCGGGACGCGATTGATTATATAGTAAAAATGCAATAGTTCTTTGAAAACTTCCTCCCTGCTCTTGGGTAATAAAAAAACTAACTAAGTACATAATTCTGTTAAGCAAGAATGCCTATTCCAAAATTGTGAATTTTATGGCCCCAGGTCAGGATTTCTGGTGTTAGGGCGGGGCCCTATTGCTAATATAGTGAAAATACATAAAAACCTCTGAATTTTTTTCTCTGCTCCTGGATATTAAATAAATGAACTACCTAGTATATAACTATGATGAGCAAGGGCCCTTCTTCCAGAATTGTGAATTTCAAGGACCCTGGGTCAGGGGTACCATAGAGGGGTCTCAACTTATATACTGAACATGATATACATGTAAGTCTCTGAAATCTGCTATTTGGTATGAATCAGAAATAGATATTTTTGATAAGCAAGGGTGCCTTTTGTGCAATATGTGGACCAAGGGACTCAGGGATTGATGTGTGGTAGGGGCACCACTGATTATTGCTGAATAATACTTATCAGTTGAAGTGTATTTTTTGTTCTCCTACCCTGCCTATAGGTATTAAGTTACCAAACTTAGCAATTGCTACGTGTATGGTCATGGTATGCAATTTTCCCTTTTTCAAAATTGTGAATCCCATGGCGTCTAGTTTAAAACAAATTCAATCATTGGAAAGTTGTTGCATGATGCTCAGGTGACCTATAAGGCCCATGGGTTTCTTGTTTTTACTTTCAAAAGCAATGTCTTAAGACTAATTACATGCTCATATTATTTTTGGTATGATCAATTTTAAAATGATTGATATGTTGTTACAGGCTCTTTCAACTTCTTTAATTCACTGTCTCGTTAAACGCCTATTAACAGGCTGCATAATGTTCAGTTTAGAATGGCACAACGTAAGCAGTACTTTTTTATTTTAAAGAAAAACATTTCAAGATACAGATAAGTAAGTTAAAAATATATGCTTACATTTAATTCAAATCCTTTTCCATTTGAAGGGAAAAGAAGACAGTTTAAAGCCGCTTTAAATACTTAACTACATCATGTATTCTTACAGGGCACACAGAAGTCGTGAAAATTCAATCTCTTGGCGATCCTGACTTAACGAAGGTGACGAAAGTTATACAGCATGCACTGTTTGCGCGCTATCCAAGGTATAGATATCCTGTTGGAAAAGGGGCTGTTTCAATATTCTGGACATTTTCTCATTTTCCCGAAATTATTCCCGACAAACTCTATGCAATGTCAGCTCCATGAGCACAGGGCTATGGCACATTATTTGGCGCTGCTTAATGTACCTTTTATATAACATTTGATATTCTGGGGATATAGACAAAGCATTCATGACACGTTACTATAGAAGAGAAACATTATCCATTAGCCAATGCATATAAAAAATTGGGCTTGTTAAAAAAACTTAAATTTGTTGTCAAACGAAAAACTCTTTCACTCATGTACACAACCTTTATTAGGCCACAGTTAGAATATGCTTCCTTGGTGTGGGGTGGATGTAATATAGGTGACAGCGAAAAATTAGAAAACTTACAATTATGTGCTGCTAGAATTGTCACAGGATTAACTCTGTTAGCTTCTAAAGATGCACTTTATATTGAAACTGGATGGGAACCATTACATGTAAGAAGGAAAAAGACCAGACTAACTACAATGTATAAAATTGATAAAAACCAAGTTCCTGAATATCTCACTGATATAATCCCAAACTTACGATGTAATTCATCAAGTTACAGTACGAGAAACTCGCAGAACTATAACATACCCAAATGCAGATTGCAAGCTTACAAATCAACTTTCGTTCCCCTTGTTATTGAAGAATGGAACTCATTACCCCTTAATGTAAGAAATTCTCCCTCGTTATCTATCTTTAAAAAGTCTATTTCTAACAATAAACAAATGCCACCCTCTTACTTCAGTTATGGAACTCGACGCTTAAATATAATACACACGAGGCTTAGACATAACTGTGTGCTTAATAGCGATCTTTTTCGATGTAATGTAATCTTGAGTCCACTATGTTCTTGTGGAAGAGTGGAGGACACTCATCATTATTTCTTCTCATGCAAAAAATATACAGAAGCCAGGAAAGAATTTTTTGACAAATTTTTGCGAATGGGTAAATTACACACTGTCGATACTCACACTTTACTCTGGGGGAGACAAATCGTTAAATGATTTTGAAAATGAATACCTATTTTCTATTGTACAAACTTTTATTAAAAAGTCAGGACGATTTGGTTGATACAATAGTTATTTCTAATTGTAAATCTTATACAGCATGTCTATTATATATGAAATGTATTCTATTGAATGTGTTTTACTCTGATTATTATATATTATTATTATTATTGTTATTTCATTTAAAGCAGAAACCCATGTATGTAAATATGTTTGGTATAATGTATATGTAGGGAGAGGGCGTAATAAGTTTTTAGAACTTTTGCCCAATCCCAATTGTAAAGTATAATCAATAAAATATGTTCAAATCACAAATCCATTATAAAATTGTACAACCGCGACAGGTGGATGTTGTGCATTCCGCAATGCTATCTACAAAATGTAATATGACGTAAACGACCGTTTGAGTGACTTCAATTGAAAAAAATTTCCAATCTTATGAAACGCCAAATTAACATATGTATAAATATTTGTTCCTATCTTCAAATAGTTGTACCTTTCTACAAATCATTGAATTAAAGTTAGATCTAAATAGATTAAAGACAGGTATTAATAATTACACATATCTTTATTTAGTTAAACCTAGATTCAAATGAAATAAACCAATCTTTAATTTCATTATAGATAGATTCGATTCAAGTTGAATTTTTCTTATCTTTAATTAATTTGAAATAGTTGCGATTGATTTGAAAGATAGGTACAATTAATACATCTGCACAAAAAGATTTCAAAAAAGTAAATATGAGTTATACCTAGTTTCAATTTAATTGACCTCTCTTTAAATTAAATAAACCCACAATTATCTAGTTTATGGTATTTAATTTATACCTGTCTTCAAATCAATTATAACTATGGCTATCTTCAAATCAATTGTACCTGTCTCCAAATGCATTTAAGTTAAATTTGGGTACAAATATGAATGTTATTTTTGGTGTTCCATACATTCCATCCGTTTTTTGGAACCTTTGGTGACCGTAATAGACACCTTTTAGTGTATTTTATTTTCATTTATTCGTAAATATTCTAATGTGTTATCTCTTTGTGAAACTGAATAGAATAAATTCAAAGAAATACTCGTTCTTGAACAGATACACTTAAGATTACTTTCTTAAAAAGAATTTGATTTTGAAATCAGAAGTTAAAACATGGTTTTTTAATTAATATATTTCTGTTTATTCCTGAGAAATACTGGGAAATAAAAAAAAAATTAAAAGAATTGCTACACCTTATTGTCAAAGATATCTACCGGTAACTCGTACATCGTATCACTGTGTCTGACCATTTATGTGTCAGTTGTGTCATGATTTGAGTCAGATGATGAGGTCTATAAAGGTCCATGAGATGAATCCAGCGATCATTTTTGTTTTGTTTTTGTTGTCGTTTTTTTGTAAACCTTGAGGGATCTAGCAAAATTTTCATCCATTTATTCTCTCAACACGACATATGTATGGTACAAGAGGTATATATATATACATATTTACAATAATTATGGAAGAGCATAAACACCAGGACAGACAGTATCAATAATATTGGATAATAATAAATTTAGCAATCCTTCAAGTATTGACACTCTTCATCTCCAGGGAAAAGTACATTATGAAGTTTTCACTAAATTGCGTATAACCTTAATAGCATGATAAAAATCAAGTATTAGAATTTGGGTAGAATGGGATAATTCATTACTTTGACAGTTCATTTATCAATACAAGTAAGCAGCAATGTACTGAGTAGTTATAAATTGATTAAAAGATTGATCATGCAATGATTTTAAAAATCTCTCTAAGTTACTCTCTCTCTCTCTCTCTGTTTGATCATGATCTCTCTTAGTTACTCTTTATCTGTGTGTGTGTTTTTAAGGGAGTGTGTTGCGTGAGGTTGTGTAAGGCTTAATTTTGTAGATGTAAGAGGCATGTCTGCGGAACATAAACGGGGTATACGTAATGCACATTTATATACACATTGGAAACAAAAATAAAAACGGATAACATTTTGTTCTACTGTCTAGGCCTTTCCTGTAAATATTTATGAACATTTTCTCACAGTGAGGTGTTAAAAAATATAAAGGAATAAACTCTTTTCATGGGGTACCTTGCAAATAAAATTATTTTAAATCATATGCTTTACAATTTTACTTTCTATCTATATCTATTCCTCAGCTGTTCATATATAAACAATCATTCTAACCAAGGTACATTCCGTAATTCCGTATACTTCTCGAGATATTCTGAAATCAATTCCAAACCTGACCTTAATTCTTTGACTCGACATCAGCATGGGCCTTTTTAAGAGCTACACTAATTGTTAAGCGGGAACGACGGGGCAAATTTTCCCCGGAATTTATTCTATACTCAGTGCATATTTGCTCATTTGCATTCGAGCTTTGCAAGATTTTCTCCAATTTCATCATATTTTCTTACTTACATTGTAGTCACCAACAAGATTTTAGCGATCTAATTGTTTTTAAAATCGAAAGGTATGTTAAACATTCCGGTAATAATTCGTTCAACCATAGCTTCTTTTACATTCATACCCAACATGGCGGTTAAATTAATGATGTAGACGTTTTCAAATTAACTTTTTTGCAAAAGGAATTATTACGTATGAAAGCCTACAAGGGTCAAATTAGAAAATGAAGGAAAAAAAATTAAGTCCTAATAACGACTTTTTTTCTCGTAATTACGACTTTTTATCTCGTTATAACGACTTTCTTAAGTCGTAATAACGACTTTTTATTTCGTAATAACGACTTTTTATCTCGTTATAACGACTTTCTTAAGTCGTTATAACGACTTTTTATCTCGTAATAACGACTTTTTATCTCGTTATTACGACTTTCTTAAGTCATAATAACGACTTTTTATCTCGTAATTACGATTTTCTTAAGTCGTTAAGACGACTTTTTATCTCGTTATTACGACTTTCTTAAATCGTAATAACGACTTTTTATTTCGTAAGAACGACTTTCTTAAGTCGTAATAAAGACTTTTTATCTCGTAATAACGACTTTCTTAAGTCGTAATAACGACTTTCTTAAGTCGTAATAACGACTTTTTATCTCGTTATTACGACTTTCTTAAGTCATAATAATGACTTTTTATCTCGTAATTACGACTTTCTTAACGTAGCTACGGATAACGATCACGTGACATTGCATGTGAATTCTAAATTAAGAATTTTTCGGTTGGCTTATTCCGGAAATGCGCATAGTTCAATATGGCGGACTGCAGAAATGTTGTAAACAACGTGCTCCGGGAAAAGTACACGGAAAACGTTATAGAAAAGCTCAGCTGTAAAGGTAGATCAAGTAAATTAGAGCGAATGAGAGAATATAACATCTTAAGAAACAGAAAACAATAAAACCTTTTTATGAACTAAAATATCTGTATATCGCAAAAGACCGACTAGCACCCCCTATTCCAAAGCAGACGACGCAGCTGGTTTGAATCTCAAGCATGATATGACAATGGATGAAATCGAAAGAGGTACGAAGATTTGTTGAGATGAGGAACTTGACAAATCAGTTTATATGCTCTCAGCCACAGTGATAAAGGCAAAAACTTTGAAAGCGATGGTGACTCGGTACTTTATTGTATCAATACATTAGGCCTACATGTAAATGGGACTGATAGTACTGAACTATTTATGGATTTACCGACACTTTCCACGGGAAATCCTGGCCCCGAAAAGTAGCTCTTGGTAAGTCATATAGATATTTACATGACATACTTTCATAATAATAGGCATATTTTAATTCAGCATTAAACTTCACCCTAGTATTAGTAAATTCAGAGAATGTAATATTAAAAGGAACTGTCATTCATTTTATGGGGGTGGGAGGGGGGGGGGGGCAAATTTTATGGATGTCACATTATGTATTTGCAGTGAACATGGTGAAGGACAGATAATTTATCTTTATTTTCAAGATCACTGGGGACCTAATTTTTGTCAGATTGTACCTAAGACATTTTTCTATTCGAAAAATTCCACATTTATAATCATTTAGGGTATTTCGAATAACCTTTAAAGTTTACATTCTGACTTACAAAAATAATTTTAAGGATAAAATATGTTTGAAAATTAAATTAATTTATCAATAATCAGGAACATTTTGTATAAATTATAATTTAATATTTTTATTGCTCTGAGTGAGTGTTTGGTAAAATTTACAGTAGCGCCGGGCCCTGCATGGCAAGTTTAAAGGCATGTTTAGTAGTCCGAACTCAATATTCAGTTGTCGCGGGCCAGCGGGCTACCTTTAGTGTCGAACCATTGACAGATTATTTTTGTTTTTCTTTACTGGTAAAAATTGTGTCAGTGTGGTAAACATTGAAACTGTTTACATGTTGTTTGCTTGTCTGATGAAATTGACAAATCTTTATATTACTGCTGCTCTATAGTTAGAATATTGGCCAGGCAGTGGGGCATTTTAATTAAATGTTAGATTTTCTGGTTAAAAAGTTATTGCCAATCAACTAATGTAATTAAATTTTGGATTTGCTGGTATATATGTATATTTATTTGATCTATTTTTTTTCAGCCATCAAGATGGTACTTTCTGATATAGGATCACCAACCCATACATGTAGTATATGGTCTCACCACCTGTACATGCAACGTAACACTTCACCTATTTGGTTTCGCTACTTTGACGAAATAAAGATGTTGACCTCTGTTAATTGTGGAACCAGGCCAAAGAGTGTTGTTGGATAGCTAGAGATGAAGAATGCTAAACAGGACCAGTTGAATTGCATTTTTGATGCTGGATAGCAGACCAGGGGATCTTGCTGTCAGCATAATAGTGATAATGGTTAAGTCATCATTTAAATTTTGCTATGCCAAATTTAATAAGTGTAGAAAATTGGCAATTTACCTGTATGAAATGTAAACTTTTGCAAGTTATATATACATGTATTTAATATGTAATGGTTTGGGCCATGGATATATATTGTCAAGTGTAGCTCAGTCGATATAGCACATGACTAGTGATGCAGGGGTCTCAGGTTTGACTCCCCGTCCATCCATACATTTTCTCTTTTCCTGTTACATATACATGTTTTTCACCGAAATTCTATATAAAGGATATACACATCGTAGGAAATATATTTTGACGTCGACTGCAGATAATATTGTATTTGTTAAATTTGATAAATTACAGATAGATTCATCAGTACAGAGTACAAGATATATGAATGTGAAGTCCAGACCATTCATGCTGATGATGATTCAACTACTGCAGCTCGACAGCGGAATGACTTTCCATCCCTTCCAAAAAAGAGCAGGAC